GCTGGCAGTACAAACATGCTCAGTCGCCGACGAACAATGCCACCGTCTCGACAAAAAGAGGTCGATCCAACGCACCACTATTCTATCAAACATTAGAAAGTACACACCGCCAAACCAGAGCCATGGGCTTCTCCACGACACTTGTTGCTTCCGTGCCCCAAATGACACTCGTATCATTTGTGGGGGAATCTGAATTCATGTACTACACAGGTAGCTTACACAGCTAGGCATCCCAAAATGATGGAACACACCGATCATAGCAGCACACTTTACATGCACCACATCGACGGTACCAAGACTGATCTCAGCACCAGCTTGGAGCTAACGGGGTAAGTCCTTCTCAAAGGTGGGTAGAATGACACGCAGCGTCGTATCATCCGCCAAAGCGTTGCGGTACGTGATCGGAGCCATCCACGCGTCCACGCGGCAAATCGTCGCCCTCGCTGCGCTGTGATTTAGACTCGGACCTCTCGCGGCCTGGCAAGCCACCCGGAGCAAGCAAGTGTTACGAGCAATAGAATAAAAGCTATATATTTGTAAATTCTTCAATTGATGCTATCGGATGCAAATACACGACGCGATGAATGCGTCACGCGACCCGTGGGCGCTTGGTCGGTCGTGCGCTGTCGGCGGTCATCGCTTCAAGCGCTGCAATGCGGCAATCATCGCGCACGTCGTCGTTTTCGACTCTTGGACCTGGACTTTTCGGCAGGACCTTGCGAAGCAATGTGGTGCGCAAGTACTTTGAGCATGGAGGGTCCTCGGCTGCAAACTCGAGGCGGTCTTTGTGCGCAGTCACGAGCGTCCGGAGCATTGAACAGACAGTGTTTGATGTCGCCGTGAGGACCACATGGGTCTTGGTGCTGTCGCGCAAAAACTCTGCCACTTGATTACACTGCGCACAATGCTCTCTCGTCATATCAATGTCCAACAGGACAAGTGCCGGGTTCGCGCGGACGGGAATGCGCGCGTCATGGAGCCTCTGCAGGCACACGGACGCTAGGCATGCAACCGCGTCGCCATGTGCCTGCTGGCGCCAGCAGTGCATCCACTCGATGATTGGAAACAACAGATACCGGGTCGCCTCGATCGTCGGTGGCAGCGCCGACAGCCACGCAGTCGCGAACGCCGAGACGGACTTTGGCGCCATCATCGCGAGCAAGGCGAGGCTGCGCTTGGTCGGCAGCTTGGCTTTTCCGAGGCGGACACAATTCTCAGCGGTTTGCAGCGGCATCAGCGTCGGCGCACCATCGAGAAGCACCGTCGTCACGTGCTCCTGAAGGCGGGCGGACACTGCCAGCACGCCCTTGTCGACGTAGTCGTCACTTGGACCAAAGGCGTCCGAGAGCGCCCACCGCGACCAGAGAGATGCAATGAATTTGACATCGCAGTGACCACCCAAGTCTAGCACAACAAGAAAGCTAGCCAATGCAAAAGGACTCATATCGAGTGCTTCGGTGAACGTGTTTGACGCGCGACGCGACAACGGCTCGTGATAGGCTGCCAAAAGGACGTCGATGAAATCCCCCAGTTCCGTGCTCGTATACGCTGCCAGGACGAGAGCTTCCGGGAGCTGCGACAGAAGCATTTGCGAATCGCCGGCGTACATGTATCGTATAGCCTCCACGACGTGGCAGCCTCCGTGCACGTAGTCGTCAACGTCGGCGAGGAGCATCGGGGGCAGGTGCCCCCCGAGATAGTTGTTGGCCGGCTCCTTTGGAAGTTGAAACAGGACGTAGGCGTCGAGGAGCAAAAGGTCCCGCACGACGTCGACACGGTACACTTTGTGACACCGAAATTTGAGGTGCGGGTGCACGACAAGAAGCGACCACGCCGCTTTGAGCCATTCGCCAAAGAACGGCTGGTGCAGCTTGGCACACACGGGTCGAGCGCTGCGACCGGCCAAGCTCAGCAGCAATTGAAGCAGCGGACCCGTCGCCGTCAGAAGCCAGCGGCGCACGAGACCTAGCATTGCGTCGCCCAGTGCAGGCCAGCCAAAGTGGTGCAAGAGTGCATGCACGACCGGTGCGACCTTGTCCAGTGGTGTGTTGGCCGTGATCCCAACCGCATCTCGAAGAAATCTCTGGACGAGGGTCACGTCATCGAGCGCCAAAAGCAGATCCCCCATCATCTTAGTAAACCCCCATTGTTGCGTCTGCAACGACGCGCCATGGGATACCGGGACGTAGTCCCTCCGTGTCCCGCAGCCAAAGGTCGACAACACGCTCGCGGCCAAGTCCCGGGCGGTCGCAAAGCCGATCAAGTTGTACGGTTTTGGGGCTATCATGGCGCGCTGCAAGTGCAAGAGAGCGCTGTCGATACCGAGGATTTCAGCGCGGTACTGTGTCGGCCAAAAGACGAGCACGGTCGGTGAGCACTTGATGAAGACTGCGTACCGAACGGACCGCGGGCACTCGGGAAAAGTGTGAGTGCCCTGGTGCTTGAGCACTTCAAGGACTGTGTCGGGGATGCAACATGCGGGGTGCGGTACACAGCTCGTAATCTTGTTCTCGTGCCGTCGGTCCACATACTCCTCGTCGGACTTGCTGTGGGGGCCAAAGTCATCGATGAAGCAAAAATGCAAGTCTTCCTCGTCCGGCAACTTTCGAAAGCTCACAAGCGCAACGTCGTAGGCGCCGGTCGCCAAAAGCACGTCCACCAAGTGCGTGTCGGCCCAGCTGAGCTTGTCCCACGACAGCGACGGGTTGATGGGTTTGAGTGCACGCGCATGCGCCGGTGTCGTTGGACCGGCCGCGCCGCGAGCGCCTTGAAGCCCTCGATGGCCTCGAGCATCTTGGGCGGCATGCGCGGCATGAAAGAGTCGCCCAGCGGCACCAAGTTGAAGACGAGCGCGTACCGTCGCCCGGACGAGAGGCGGGTGGACGATATATAGGTTTGCAGATACGTCATGGCGACGTGCATGACGGTCGGTGACGCATCCAACTTCTCCGTGTGGTGACCTTGGGTAAAGGTGATGCGGCCGCCCTTGTGCGCCGATGGCAGCACAAAGATGACCGAGCCAAAGGCATTCGCAGCCGACTTCTGCGCGTGCAAGCCATTGCCGTTTCCGCTGACATCAATGGCGAGGTGTGATAACGTCACACCGATGGCGACCGAGCTTGCCAGACCGAGCGCACCCCGACCTTCGAGAAGGACGTTCTCGCCAGCGGTGGCCCACCACGCATCAAAGTCATCGATGGAAAAGTCGGACGCGGGAAGAATTGTGTCCGTGTCATAGAGCGCATCGAGTCGCTTCTCGTGGGCTTTCGAGAGTGGCCACGCAAATGCTTTGCGGCCAATGTGAATGCGCGGCGGGCGGACGTCGCGCGGGCACTTGAGCGTGTAAAGGAATGTGTCCTTGGACTTGAGCTTGACAAACGCTGTGGCGTACGGCCGGGCGCAGTCCGACTCGAGGTACTCGTCGTCGTCGCTCACGTTCCTGCTGTCGCATGAGTCATACTCCATTACGGTTTTGGGCTGTGGTTAGTGTAGAAATGGGTGCTGCATTCAGAGCACAAATCAAATCGAGCGCCGCAACGCTGCAAACATGGAGGGCCGTCTAACATTAGTTGTACGAGTTTAGCCCGATATAGCCCCGTGGTTGCGTACCAAAACCCAACATTTGTGGTGGCGCTGGCGCACATTTATACACGAATTAAAGGATGCGTCTTCTATAATCTCTTGAACGACTACCGGTGCTTGCACACTTCGTCGAGAGTGCTCAATATGAATGGCAATGGCCGAGGCAACCCGCTTGACATACGTCTTTTCAGGCCAATCACAACAAAGTACGACGACTACAATCTTACCCATTGGTTGATTTTACCCAATCGGATAGAATCCCACACTGTGCAAACTGCAGACGACCATTGAATCAGCGCCAAAGGTACTTTTTAAGCGAATTCAAAGCCGCCTGGAAACGCCAAATGGTTTCCCAGCACTTCATACAGCGTGGTGAATAGCACCCCGTACTCGTACAGTCCAAGGGCTCTAGACGAACGTGACACGCCGCGCGTCATGGATCGGACGACAGCACTGGATATGAATGTCCCATCTCTCGCCATTAGGCTTCTTCTGACGGATGCCATCAACGTACCAGAGTGCCCATGGCTCGTCGATTCTGGCTTCGGGCGCTCTGCCAGGGCGCCGCGCTTTGCTACGTCGACGCCAGCTGCAAAGTCACTAGGCGCGCCCCCCAGACATCGACCTCGAAGCGACAACCAACGTCGCCGACCTCTCAGCCATCGGCGATATGCGCGCATGGACAAGTCCTCGCCAGTAAACGCCCTTGCTTGCAATGGCCGCATTCACAGCCGTCAGTAGAGCCCTCGTCAACAGCTCATCACCCGTCGTCGTCGATGCCGCAACGTTCGCCTCGAGTTTGCATGCCCGACGACATGATAGCTCTTGGAATACTGTATCGACCTGACGTGCTCGTTTGTAGCAACTGCCAAGGGTGCGAGATGCAGAATATTACGCTCGACGAGGAAGCGTACGTGGCACTTGACAACCTCCCGCCCGTCGGCACGCCCAGCTCGGGTTCGCCAATGCACAGGCGTGTGCGCTTCATAACGGCGTCGTCACAGAGTTGTGGAAGCAGTACAAGACCCCGTCCACATTTACCGTCTGCGTCGTCCTTGGCCGTACACGCCCCTCGCTTTTCAACGCCTCATTCAGAGCCACCTCGTAGGCAAGATCGACGACCGCCCACCACCATCGGTATGGTTTGTGATCGAGTGAGATATGGGAGTTACAACCACGGTCTACGTAGCGACCGCCCTCATCGCATCGCTCGCGATCGGGTGCGCTCTCTTGCTCGCCGGGGTCGTCTTTCTCTTGCTCAAGCGCCGAAACGACAAGCCCGACGACGGTCCCACGACACAGCTTGCGTCGCACGATAGCGTAGCGTACCATGATATTTTGGAGAGCCATTATGGCAGCTTGAACCTCGCTGAGATTGCACTTTACCGGCTACCGTCGGCCGACATCACGCCACTCGGGCTCCTCGCATCTGGGGCGATGGCCGACGTCTTCCTCGGCGACTACAACGGCGCCCCCGTGGCCATCAAGCAGCTTCTGAGCGGCCAAGCAACGACCCGCCACGTGAGCCGGCTCGTCGACGAGATCCAACTGCTCGCGTTGTTCGACTCGTCTTATATTGTGGCCCTTGTGGGCGTCACGTGGGACCGCCCCCTTGACCTCAAGTGCGTGCTCGAGTACATGGACGGCGGCGACCTCCGCGACAAGCTTGCGCGCACCAACCATACGTCGTATCCGTGGTATGAGAAGTTGCACTGTGTCCTCTCGGTCGTCGAAGGGCTTGTCTACTTGCACTTGCTCGACATTATCCACCGCGACCTCAAGTCCCGCAATGTGCTCTTGGACGACGTAAAAGGCGCCAAGCTCACCGACTTCGACGTCTCGCGCCACGACACGCAGGCGACGATGACGGTCGGTGTTGGCACGTACCGCTGGATGGCGCCCGAGATCCTCCAGTTCGACCACTACTCGGTGGCCGCCGACATTTACTCGTTCGGGATGCTTCTCTCCGAATTGGACTCGCATGCGATTCCGTACGCCGGCGTCATCAGCGAGACGAGCGGCAAGCCCCTTGTCGAGACGGCTATCATGGGCATGGTCATGACAGGCTCGCTGCGACCGACGTTTACGTATACAACGCCGCTGTGGATCCAAAACTTGGCGTCGCAGTGCCTCGCGGCGTCGCCAGAGGACCGGCCGAGTGCGATGAAGGTCTCGTCCGTCGTACGGCAACACCTTAAGGAGGACCGTATCCAGACACCTGTCCAACGTCGCTTTGAAGGCAATACCAAGCAAATTAGAACACTATTTAGTTGACGATTACCGGTCAACCAAGGTCGTCGCCTTCACTCGTGGGCGAGTCGATGGCTTCCGCGATAGGCGGCGGCGACCGACGACGAGGGCACGCGTCCACCGACACAAAGACCAGTGGCACCACATGCGGCACGCGGCCACAGCGGTAGCGTACCTGCAGCGCTTTGGGCAGCTCGGCCGAGATCGCTATGGGCGGCAAGGTGGACGTGAGCCGGAGCGACCCGAGGCTCCAGAGGGCCGACGGAGGCGACGGCGCAAACGCCACAAAGGAGTTGGGCCACTTGTAGCTCTGGAGGTGCACCGTCTCGTGCAAGTGCAATGGCGTCCTCGTGGTCTTGCGCAACACAAACATTGCCTTTTCCGACGGCGCGTCCGCCCACGTCATCCCACGCCGCCACGTCATCCCCCGAAGATACCGCTTCTCCGAGACTATATAGACGAGCGACTCGTGAAATAGTGTCATGGTCTCGGTCGGCGCGTGCACCGCTTCAAAATGCACGAGCTCCTGCGCGCCGAGTCGGAAGCGCGCTTCGACACAGAGAGCGTGACGCGACGACGTGTCGCCGAGGACCATGCCCCGTGTGTGCCCCGTTGAGAACGTGAGCACGACCGGGGTACGGGTTGTGACCTGCATTCGACCAAATGGCTTGTGCTTCCGTGCTCTCCTATTGTTGACGCGATGGAAAGTGACGTGGTGGGTCCCGACCACGCCGTTGACTGGCGCAGGGATGCGAGTAGTACGCACTACTCTATTCACAGGTCGATGCTATCACTACTGTGGTGTGGTAGCATCATGGGCGTCTCGTTGTGCTTGGGGGACCTTGCCTTGCCGCGCGGGCTCGAGCGGGGGCTCCGGCCCCCCCGGGGGGACCCCGGCCGAGGACCCTTGGTACGCGGGATGAGGATCGCGGGCGGAGGCACAATGGACTTGATGATCTTCGTTTCGACGCCCCACGACGTCCATGCGGTCGAGCGCTTGGTGGCGGCGCGGACCTCGTCCATGTCGTGTGGTGAGAACTGAAGCAGCGTCGAGAGCACTGGAATGAGCTTGGCTTGCTGGCTCGAGCCCGGGCGAAAGCTCATAAACTGCACGACGACGTTCTTGAGGTACTCCATGTTGACGCCTTCGCGGCGCTCGGTGCGCACGAGCACGGCGATTTCGTCTTCCATGATTTTGATCTGCCCCTTGAGACTCTCGACCTCGGCTTGCTTGGTCGCGACGGCGTTACTGAGCTCGGCGACTTCAGAGTCCCGCGACCGCTGCATCGCGTCCCGCTGGGCTTGGACGTTGGCGAGCTCAAAGATGCGCCGATGGTCGGCGTCGCCCGACTTGACGTCGTGCTCGAGCTGGGCCAGCTGCGCCGAGAGTGACGCTACCTGCTCTTCCTTTTCCAGCACGAGCTGCCGCGCCAGTTTCGACTTGGCGCGTGCATCGCTCTCCAGTCGGTCGACTTCGGCTGCATGGGACGTTCGAAGCGCGTTTAGATCGGCCGCCGCTGACGCGGTGAGCGACGTTTGCATGGCGAGGAAGGCTGTCTCTTGGGTCGCGACCTGGGCGCGGAGCGTCGCAACCTCGTCCGTCGCCGCCGTCTGCGCATCTTTAAACTCGAGCGTTTGCGTCTGCAGCAGCGACTTGGCTTCGGCGAGCTCGTCCGAGACTGCCTTGTAGCGACTGAGGCGCTGCGATAGCTGCTGCTGCAGCTGCGCGACCTCGGCTGCGTGGCCCGCGCACGTCTCGGCATACTGCTGGTTCTCGGCCGCGAGTCGCGTCGCGAGTGCGTTTTGCTCAGACCAGTTTTTACGCGCATCGGCCAAGACAGCGGCGACGGCGCTGGCCTCCTTTGTCGCGTCGGCCGCCTTTTGCTCAGCGACAGCGAGCTGCGCACGGAGGCTGGTGGTCTCCGACTCGAGATGTGACTTGGCGCTGGTGACGCTGCGAAAGTCGCGTAACTCGGCCTCCAAGTGCGTGTGCTTGGCCATGGCCGTGTCGGCGAGGTCCTGGAGCTGGTCCCGTTCCCGCTCGGCAGTCTCGAGCTTGGCCGCGAGCCTGGCCATTTCGGTTGTCTTGGCCGCCACGTCGGCTTCGAGACGCACGACGGTTTGGCTCAGCAGGTCCATGTCGGCGCCTTTCTGCTGCAAGTTGAGCTCAAGTGCGTCGATCGTCTGCGTCAATTGCGTCTGATTTTGGAGCTCCCGCTTGAGCACCGAGAGGCTTTCTTCTCGCTGCGCGTTGGCCGTGATCTGCGCCAGAATGTCGACTGCATACGAAGATGCGGTCGCCTCGGCGGCCGTCAGCTGGGTCGCGAGGGACGTGGCCGTCTGCTGGGCTTTGGCCAGTGCGTCCTGGAGGGATTTTTTGGCGGCGTCGCTCTCGCTAACCTTGGACTGCCACGTCTTGTCGGCTTCGTCGCGCAGCCGGCGCTCCATGGCAAGACTCGACTTGAGCGTCTCGAGTTCGAACCGGAGCGTGGCGTCGATGGACACGACAGCCTCGGTGTTGCTGCTCGCATCGTCCTTTGGCGACGCTGGCCGCAGGTGCTCGAGCTGCGCCTTCAAGTTGGCGATCTCTTGCACGTAGAGGGTCTCCATTTCGCGCACGTGGTGCTCGCGGGCAGCGTCGCGCGAATGGTACTGCGCCCGCATGGCTGAGGTGTCGAGGACCTTTTCGGCGGAAAGCGGCGGCGGCGCGTCGGCGCTTGCGTCTTCGTTGGCGACCGGTGCATCGTCGACCTCGGTCGCTGGCTCAAAGGCAACGTCGAGACCAATGTCGTCGGTGACGAACGCTACGAGCGCGTTGTAGTTGGCCTCGACCTCGGTGAGCCGGAAGAGCTTGTCGGAGGCGGTCGTCATCTGGCTCTTGTACGCTCGGTTCTGCTTGGTGAGCTTCATGCTCAGCGAGAGGAGCTCGTCGTAGCTCATCTTTGGCTTGTCGGCCATGGTCGAGAAGCTGCTAGTGCGGCCCGTCGGAAGCGGCGGCTTCTCCTCGTCGAGGTGGCCATAGCTCGACGACTTCTGCCGGAGGAAGCTGAGGCCCTTGGTCAAGCCGCCCATGCCCAGCTCCTTCATCTCGGCCAGGCCCTTCTCGAGCTGCTCCTTCTTCTTCATGATGGCGGCGCCAAGTGGCCGCCCCGATTACAAAATACCTTGCTCTTTGTATGCACCACTCAAGATCCAAGTACACAGTCATTACATCTATTTTGGTCTTCCCGGATCGTCCGGATACGGTGCCACATGCCACCCGAGCTCGTCGCGGCCCGGCGGACCCGCGCCGCCTCTCGCAGCAACCATGCTGCGAGAGGCGACGGGCCCATGTACGTGCTCATTAGAAGGCGGTGCGACGACTGCGCCCACTGCCCGAGAGCGGAATGGCAGCGATAGAGGCGAAGACGGAAGCTACGTTGAGTCAGCGCTTGGTCGTCAGCGGACGACCCGCCAGCGCACAAGCATTTGGCAGGTGGGCGCAACGAGGCGCCACACAGCGCGCACATGCGAGACCTTCAAGACGTGACGACCGCTGCATCGACAGTCACTTCGTTGGTGCTCCATGCAAGGTCATGGCTTGGTTGCGGTATGGACCATCGTTGCGTGGCCTGAGGCGTGTCCGTGGTCGACCGACGACTTGTGGCGGGCAGCCATGGCATCGCATGTAGCGTGGCAAGGACCGCATCAGCAAAGGCCTTGCGACGTACTTGGCCGCTTTGGTCCGGTCGGTGGACTCGGTTCCTGGTGCATCCAGTGTATCAAAAAGCTGGCGCATGTGGTTTCGATTTTCGATAGTTTTTATTGCAGAAAATTCGAATTTCAATACAAAGTCCAAGGTGTTTCGTGTTGGGGCGGCATAAAAATACCATTAAAATACACTGGCTGGGCACACAACTGTGGCCGGGAACCGCACAGTAGTGTAGAAGACGCAGGTTGACGACGAGATGGCGATCGTGAACCCCAAGAAGATGAAGGTCGCCGAGATCAAGGACGAGCTCGCCAAGCGCGGCTTGAGCACGGTCGGCGTCAAGGCCGAGCTCGTCCAGCGCCTCGAGCTCGCGCTCGACGAGGAAGAGTTTGGCAGCGAAGCGCATGAGCAAGCGACACTGGCGGCGGCCGAGGCCTCGCCCATCGGGTCCGCGACGCCCGAGCCCGTCGAGGAGCCTGCGCAGGAGGCGCCCAAGGAAGCCTCGCCGCCGAAGCATGCGGAGCCCGTGCCCGAGCTCGTCAAGGACGCACCGGTGGTCGCGGCGGCGCCGGTCACAGTCGGTATGACCGAAGAAGAGAAGCGTAAGGCCCGCGCCGCAAAGTTTGGCATCCCCCTCACTGAAGACCAGCGAAAAGTAAGCCACTGCGTCCACAAGATCTACGAACGAGCCAAATACAATCCCGTAGATGGAGCGTGCCCAGCGGTTCAATGCGCTCAAGGCGGCCGGTGCTGGTAGGCCAGTGTGATGCAGCGGCAGGAACCTCTCACCTTGTACGATCTGCAGTAGACGCGACGGTCGAGACTGTCAAGAAGTCGAAGCGCGCCGAGCGATTTGGCATCGAGTCCGACGACAAGGTCTGTACTATCCTTGTGGCGGCGTGCGGCATCTCATGCGCTTGCAGGTGCAAGCGCAGAAGAAGGCGCGCGGCGAGCGCTTTGGCATCACGGACGACTCGAAGAAGAAGCTCGAGCGTGCATTGCGGTTCAACCTCGTGACCAAGGAAGTCGTACGCGATCCAAGCATCCTGAACCACGTATCTCACCGTCGGAGGCGTAGGTCGATGAAAAGCTCAAGCAGCGCCAAGAGCGGTTCGCGGCCAAGTAGATAGCGCAAGCTACAGAGAGAGACCACAAAGACCATGTCATTATGTAATCACGCTACGGCTGCATGGGCGCGCGGGCGAGGCGTCGGCGTGGGCTCTGCGGCGTCGTGTGGGCCTCTGTGGCCGCATGCATGGCGTCGGCGGGCCTCTGGCTGTTGAGAAAAGCAAGCAACACAGTCGCTTCGCTCTCGGAAATACGAAAGTTGAACTTGGCCGCGCTTAGCAAGAGCTCGTCTCGGTGCATCAGCCGGGTCTCTACGCCACGCGCGGTTGGGCATTGGCACCAAGAAGAGAGGCTTCTACCATGGCCAGCAACGTGCCGGAAGACGTCGGCGAGTTTTTGGAAGCGAGCCAGCTCGTCCAAGAGGACGCGGGGACAGGTGACGGCGGCGGTGGCCATCTCGCTCTGGGCATGCTGCATCGAGTCGTAGAAGGACCACGCCGACTCGAGGCGGTGACGCGCCGATGTCGACGGGCGTACATACACAGCGGTCGTCGGTCGTTCGAGGGCCGCAAGCTGGCGCGCGGTGCAAGCGCGGGCCTGGAGCTCGTGGAGTGTTTTCCAGTGCGCCGCTTCGTCGCGCAGATGGTACGGCGACACAGTGTGCGTCGCCGCCGATGCCGCACGTTCTTGCGGACTCAGATTGCCCGAGTGACGCGTCGTCGTCAGTATCTCCGCGTCGTCGTCGTCGCGCACGAGGCTGTGGCAGACGTTCTTGCGCCGATGCATATCGATCGCTTCTTTGTCGTCGACCGGTGGACGTGAACAATATGTTCGATCGGCGGTTGGCGTGAAACGTCGTCGAGTAACTGTAGTACCGTTCTAGTACTACGGTACTAGGTATAACAAATTTCGGGACAACAAACTTTGGGAAAACAAACTTTTTAGAGACTCTACTTTACTCCACCCACAACCAACCCCCTGATTAACTATTTATAATACATCAACCCTGCGTTCCCTGTGCCTCGGCCCTTCACTCCCTCCTCAGAAATCGCCACTGGCCCGGAATACCCATTTTCCTGAGTTGAAAAACCCTCTTTCCTCCTTTTCACCAAGTCTTTTGAGTGCGTTTTTGCTTCAAGTTTGTGAACGCGTTGGCCTCCGTGCGAGTGGCCGGAATGGGGGAAGGGCGCGGGAAGCTAGCCAACGCACGCGTGCATATATCAGCAGCTTTGTAGCAAATTGATGGTGGGCATCAATTTGCCTCTTGGCACTTTGCGACTTTCGTCCGAGTACAAATGTACGACATGATGCAAAGTCGAGTTAGTTAGTTCATGCTGTAGTGGAGTTGCGACCGGTGCGGCGACCGCTTGGATTTTGCCGGCGGGGGCGACGGTGCCACGCCGCCAAACTTTTGCACGAGCACGTTCACCTCGTCGGCCGTGACGGTGCCATCTCGGTTGCGGTCCATAAAGGCCATGAGCGCATCGGCGTCCTTGGTCGTCAGCGGAATCAGCAACTTCGTTGCACACGCCACGAGCTCGTCGCGGGTCACGACGCCGTCGTCTACGGCTCGTGAGTCGCTTCTTAATCAACCAAGATGGCCTACGGTTGCGGTCGAGCTGCTTGAACACGTCGGCGAGGCGGCGGTAGCGTGCAATCTCTTTCAAAATGTCGAGGGCCGCGTTCGAGTCGCGGGGCTTGGATTGGAGCGTCTGGTTCATCGCGTCGTAGAGGGACCAAGAAGCCTCGATGCGGTCGGCGGCCGTTCCGCGCACACACCGGCGCTGAACGAGCGGCTCGTCCGCAGCTTGTAGCGTCTTCTCAATGTGCACGCGTTCCTTGAGCTCTAGTAGATCGTAATTTTTGCAAAAGCGGATCCGTCTTTTGCACGTACCATGCAACACTCTCCAGTGCGCAGGCTCGGGCAAGAGGTTGTACGGCGAAACTGTGTGGGACGCTGCGGACCGCGCCCGCTCGACCGGCGTGAGATCGCCCTCAACGACGTCATTCCATGTTGTTGTCGGTTGAATGGCAACGGTCGTCAAACGAAAAGCCGGGAGCTGCACGGCGTCGCGGCGATGGCAAGTGTGGTCGTGCGTTGTGTGCATTGACGTCGCGCGCACCTTGATGGACGGAGGTAGGACACGGAGCGTTGACGCGCTGCGGCGGTGGTGCGGGCGTGTGCTCATGCTATCGAGAGAGCTGGACTAGGATGGATTGAATGCACGTGGCGCTGAAACGGAAACTTTGCCGGGTTCTGGAGCGTCTGTCTCGGCTTGTGCTGTGGCGGACGTGGTTCGCGTGGACGCCGCAAGACGAAGTATGTGATCGGAGACCGTTGGGTCCCTGAAAGACAAATTCTTCCTTCCATACAATAGGAGGATTCCGGGACGAGCAGCATCTCGTGCTTTCCGCAGCTCTCGAATCGAACACCACCGACCGAATCAACTCGTTTTATGCAACCAGAATCACTTCTTCTTCTTGGTACAACACAGCCTCAACAGTGCTACGGCTGAACGAGAGGTGGGCCATATTTCCAGAGTGGTGGATGGAAATAAGGATTATCGTGTCGATCACGCACCATTGAAAAGTCATGGTGGAAGGGCGACTACTAGTACAGAAGAGCAAGGCGAGCCCCCGCCAACGCCCCGCGAGCGAGTGAAGAAGAGAAGAGATTGCTAGTCTTTGCGTATGCAAATCTTTGAAATGGAGATAACGCAAAACGCGTTCATATACATTGCTAAAGGCATTGCGATCCGCTATCGATGCTTGCCATCATGTTGGAGCAAACAAGTCGCTACAGCTACAACTGTACAGTTGGCGACCTACCGCACTCCAAGCTCTTTCCATCTTTAGACGAATGATCCCAGCGCAATACGTATATCGGTCGTCCCTGCGACTAGCTCTACTGGAGTATAATTGCAAGAGCCGATGCAAGGACTAGGGCAACGGCGACTGCATATGCCAACGCATGGTAACGCCCGTTGCCGGTTACGTCGCCCGATTGTACACTATTATTTCACTTTTGAGAGAACACTATTTCGATGCACGTAAATCGTGTATAGATATGTGTTGCGACAAGACCTGTGACTTTCCATTGCTCGATATATGCATTCTCGCAGGTATCGACCTTGAAGATCTTTTCGAAAGGTCGCAGATCTCGGTGCGACTTCTCATTCACGACCAAGGGATGCAGCTGCGCCACCTCTCGACGGTGCTGCCGCCGACCGAGGGCATGTGCAAGGTGACCGCGATCGCGTGGTCGCCCAACAACAGGCGGCTCGCGGTCGTGACGGTCGAGCGCGTCGTGCACATGTTTGACGCAGCGACTGGCGAGCGCAAGGACAAGTTTTCGACCAAGCCCGCCGAGAAGGTTCGCTTCGCCTAGCTTCGCCGACGCGCATGGCATCCTCATGGCGTGTGCTAGGGCGACAAGAACTACACGGTGCGCGGGCTTGCGTTTTCGCCCGACTCGTCCAAGCTCGCGGTCGCGCAGAGCGACAACATTGTGTTCATCTACAAGCTCGGGCTCGAATGGGGTGACAAAAAGTCCATCTGCAACAAGTTTATGCAAGCGTGCAGCGTCACGAGCATGATCTGGCCGACCGCGCACCCAAACGAGATTGTGTTTGGCCTCGCCGATGGCAAGGTCAAGCTCGGCCAATTGCGCAGCAACAAGCCCGCGACCTTGTACGCGACCGGCAGCTACGTCTCGACGCTATGCACCAACCCGGAAGGCACAGCGATCCTCTCGTCGCACTATGACCACTCGATCTACCGCTTTATCTTTGACGACGTCAACGGCGGCTCGAGCCAGACCAAGATCGCAGTCCATACGTGCGTGCCGTACGCGCTGTCGTGGGGCGAGTCGATTCTCGCTGCCGGGAACGACCGCAAGGTCGCCTTCTACGACAAGGACGGCGGTCTCGTCCGTAGCTTCGACTACTCGAGCGACGACAAGTGCGGCGAGTTCACGACCAGCGTCTTCAACCCGACCGGCGACTCGGTCGTTGTCGGCAACTTCAACTCGTTTTACATCTACAGCCACCACGTCAAGACCAACTCGTGGGAAGCTGTCGGTGTCAAGAGCATTGAGAACCTCTACTCGGTCACGAGTCTTGGCTGGAAGTACGACGGGTCGCGGCTCGCGGTCGGCTCGGTCTGCGGCGCGCTTGACCTCTTTGACGCATGCGTGCGGCGGTACCGCTACAAGGGCAAGTTCGAGTTCACGTACGTGTCGCTGAGCCAAGTGATTGTCAAGCGCATTGCGACCGGCCAGCGGGTCATTGTCCGCTCGACGTTTGGCTGCGAAATCACAAAGCTCAACGTCTTCCAAGACCGGTTCCTGGTCGCCAACACGAGCAGCACGCTCCTCGTTGGCGACCTCGAGACCTCCAAACTCTCGGAAGTCCAGTGGCAGTCGACCGGCGCCGAAAAGTACATGTTTGAGAATCCCGCCGTGTGCATCATCTACCAAGCCGGCGAGCTCTCGCTCATCGAGTATGGTCAAAATGAGGTGCTTGGCTCGGTCCGCACCGAGCACCTGAGCTTGCACTTGCTCTCGGTGCGCATCAACGAGCGCCCGATCCTCTCCGAAGCGACCAAGTTGGTCTCGGACGACAACAAGAAGATGGCGTTCCTTCTCGACTTGCAGACGATCTCGGTCAAGGACCTCCACCTGCACGCGTCGACGACCGTCAACCACGATGCGCGCGTCGACTGGCTCGAGCTCAACGCCCATGGCAACCTGCTCCTCTTCCGCGACAAGCGCCGCCAACTGCACTTGTTTGAGATGGACACGCAAACCCGGTCGACGCTGCTCAACTACTGCAACTACGTGCAGTGGGTGCCCGACTCGGACGTCGTTGTCGCCCAGAACCGCAACAACTTGTACGTATGGTACAACATTCGCAGCCCCGACAAAGCCACGATTTACCAAATCAAGGGCGACGTCGAGCAGATCGAACGCGCGAATGGCCGCACCGAAGTCATTGTCGACGAAGGCATGAACACGGCGAGCTACCAGCTCGACGAGTCGCTCATCAACTTTGGGACCGCCATTGACGACAAGCAGCTGCTCCGCGCCATGGCGATCCTCGAACCGCTCGAACTCACACCTGAGACCGAGGCCATGTGGACGCAGCTGAGCGCCGAAGCCCTCAAAAGCAACGACCACCGGATCGCCGAGCGCTGCGTCGCTGCACTCGGCGATGTGTGCCGGTGCCGGTACCTCCGCAAGGTCAACAAGATCGACTACATGGAGCACGCAAAGATGTCGGAGGGCATGGTGCATTGGCGCGTGCGCTCCAAGCTCGCGCTTCTCAAAAACGACTACCGCAGCGCCGAGCACATCCTGCTCAGCCAAGGCCAAGTCGACGACGCGATCGAAATGTACCAGCTGCTGCAAAAGTGGGAAGACGCGATCCGCGTTGCCGAGACGCGCAACCATGCGTCGCTCGATGCAATGAAGCGGCAGTACGCCGAGTACCTCTTGTCGTCGCGCCAAGAAGAAAAGGCGGCCGTGCTCAAGGTCAAGGAAGGCGACTTCGCCAGCGCCGTCCATCTCTACCTCAAGGGTACGCTGCCTAACCTACTCTACTCTCTAAAATTGCGCGTAGGGGGCCTTCCGGCAAAGGCCGCCAACTTGCTCAACGAGCGCAACCTCGGGCGCGACCACCGCGCGCTGCTCGAGAGCGTCGCCGATGCCCTGTATGCCTCGGGCATGTACGAGAAGGCCGGCGACCAGTTCGAGAAGATGGAGGAGGAAGACCGCGCGCTCGCCGCGTACTTCAAAGCCAACGCCTTCCGGAAGGCCGTCGACCTCTCGCGCCGCGTCTTCCCAGACCGCGTCATGAAGCTCGAAGAGAGCTGGGGCGACTACCTCGTGTCGCAGAAACAGGTAGGAAGAAGGCGTCGCCGGCATCGACTGATGAAACGTAGATGGACATGGCCATCAACCACTACATTGAAGGCAACGTACCGACAAAGGCCGTCGAAGCCGCGCTCAACTCGCGTCAATGGGCCAAAGCCGGTCAGATGGTCGAGACGCTCGACGACGAGATCGCGCTGCCCTACTATAGGCGGCTCGCGCGCCATTACCAAGACGCGCAGCAGTACGAAGCCGCGGAGCGCTGCTTCATCAAGGCCGACGCGGCGCGGGACGCGGTCGAGATGTACACGCGGGCCAACAAGTGGGATGCAGCGTACCAAGTCGCGCTCAACCACATGGACAAGTACGAGACCGAGCGCTTGTATGTCGAGCAAGCGCACCGCATGGAGCGCGCGGGCAAGCTCAAGGAGGCCGAGAAGCTCTTTTTGACGGTCAACGAGCCCGACTTGGCCATCAACATGTACAAGAACCACAAGAACTACGAGCAAATGATCCGACTCGTGACCAAGTACCGCAAGGACCTCCTCAAGGACACGCATTTGTACCTAGCGCAGCAGCTCGAGCACGAAGGCAACTTCAAGGAGGCCGAGCACCACTTTGCCGAGGCGGGCGAGTGGCAAGCCGCCGTCAACATGTACCGTTCCAACGACATGTGGGACGAAGCCATTCGCGTGGCCAAGTACCATGGCGGTATCAACGCCAGCAAGCGCGTTGCGTATGCCTGGGCCATGAGTCTCGGCGGCGAAGCCGGCGCGAAACTGCTCACGCGGCTCGGGCTCATCGAGCCTGCGATCGACTATGCGATCGAGAGCGGTGCATTCGAGCACGCGTTCGAACTCGCTCGGAGCTGCGCGCCCAAGAAGGTACCCGAGGTGCACCTCAAGCACGCGCTCTTTCTCGAGGACGAAGAGCGGTTTAAGGAAGCCGAAGATGAGTTTATCAAGGCGTGCAAGCCACGCGAAGCCGTCGACATGTACATTCATCAACAAGACTGGGCGAATGCGATGCGGGTGGCCGAGACCGCGGACCCGGCCTCGGTCTCGGACGTCTTTGTGGCCCAAGCGCGGCTCTGGGTCGAGCGGAAGGAGTACGCCCGTGCCGGTATCCACTGCGTTTGGTTGGAGATTCGAGACAAAATGCGATGTTTTGTAGAGAGCTTTTTTCTCAATGCCGGCAAGCCCGAGATGGCGCTGGCCGCGTACATGGAAGGCCAGCTCTGGTCGGATGCGATGCGCCTCGCCAAACGTCATCTCCCGCACAAGCTGAGCGAAGTCAACATGGCCCACCAGCGCGCAATCTTCTCCGGAGGGCCCAAGTCCAAGGAAGAGCTGCTCGAAGCGTGCGAGATCTGGGTCAGCTGCCAGCAGTATGTCCAGGCCATCGATGCGTACCTCTCGATCACGCTCGACCAGCTCGATGTACAATCTCTCATCGGAGTCGGATATATCTGATATGTGAAATATGCGTAGAACCCGAGTGGACTCGAAGAGATCTGGGGCCTTGCGGTCGAGCTGGCCTCCAAGCACGACCGCGGCCGCTTCAAGAGCGTTGTCGAGGAGGTCGCGTCCCGGCTTCTCTCCATGTCCATGTTTGACGCCGCCGCCAACTACTTCAAGGCGATCGACAAGATGTCGGAGGCGCTCGACTGCTACCTCCGCACGAGCAACTGGGTCGCGGCGCAAAAGCTCTGCGAACAGCACGCCCCGGAGCTGCTCCCGCGCCTCGAGCGCGCGCAGCACGCCTCTGCATTTGGCAACAGCGACGCCAAGCCGCAAGAAAAGGCGTCGGCCAAAGACGACGTCAAGGAAGCCAAAGACTCTGCCCGCGCGCCGGAAGCCAAGGCCGAGGCCAAATCGTCGTCCGAGGCGGCCAATGCGCTCGATGTGTGGATGCAGCGAGGCGAGTGGGACAAGGTGCTTTCGTCGGCGGCCAAGCATGGCCCAAAGGCCCTCGCCAAGTACTTGGTGTTGCGCTGTACGCGGCTGCTCGAGCACGACGACGCCGATGCAGCCATCGCTGCGTTCACGACGTACGGTGTCCCACTGGTCGACGACACGCTGCCAGTCGTCGAGCGCGTCGTGGCCAAGTGCCTGGGCTGCCCCGTCGCCGTCGAGCCGACGCCCGAGCACGCGGTGAACGTTGCGTCGCTGGTCAAGGTGCTTCGAAAGCTCGTCAAGGAGATGAAGGCGACGAAAGAGGTGTCGCCGGCGCAGATCGCGACGATGGAGCAGTTCTTACTCATTGCGCACTACACGTCGTTCAAGTACCAAGCGCAAGCATCGGGCCTCCACGATATTGCGTGCAAGATTGGCATGTCGCTGCTGCGGTACATCACCGTCTTGCCCGCCGACAAGCTCTTTTACTTGGCGGGGGCCGGCTGTCGCGATAAAAAGTGGCTCAGCCCTGCGTTCGTCTTCTTCAACCGGTACCTCGACTTGACCGAAGCGATCGACGACGGCAACATGAACAGCTTGGACAACTCGGACTTCCTCGGTACGGACATCCCGCGGGATTTCCCTCTCCCGGACGAGCAGTACCTCCCGGACGAAGCTGCGCGCGAAGAGATTCGCGACTGGGTGCTCACAATCTCGATGGACCAGCAAGTGCAAGAGAAGCTCCCGGAGCGGCCGTGCCCCAACTGCCAAGCGTCCATTTACGAAGGCAGCTTGCACTGCACCGAGTGCAAGGCCAAATTTGAGCCGTGCATCATCACGGGCTTCCCGGTCGTTGCGAAAATGACGGTCAACTGCACCAACTGCAAGGCGATTGCCGAGCGCGAGAGCTGGAACAAGTGGATCAAACACTTTGGCGCATGCGGCTGGTGCGCCGCGCCCCAAAAGCTCAGTTACTAGGCGTGAAATGACATATTGTACATTGTACACATTTGCATTTGGTCGTGGTCTGTGACGTGGCATTCCGACGTCCTCGTTGGACGAGTCCCCACTCGCAAGGATAGAGAACAAGAAGATACGAGCGCTCGTCAGTTGCGATAGCCAAGTCATTTAGTCAATAACCACGTGCAATGAAGTAGAAAACAAAGTAGTGTGTGATACTGTACGCTAGTATGGTGACGTACTAGCACGTTAGCGTACGCAGTAACTTAGGGAAATGTTTTCTAGCAATGCATCTATTGCCTTGATATATTGATACATTGTTTGTTGAGAGCCGCCACGTTCGATGGCCGGTGCGGTGGGTGCATTCGCGTGCATTTTGTAATGTAGCACCGCGCCAACTGCATCTTTGCCGATCGCCGGATAAGGTCATTTGCCACCAGTATACTACCATACTACATATACATGGACCGTCGTCGCAGCTCCACGGTCGGTCGCAGGAGCTCGCTATTAGCCGCGGTGCCAGCGGTCGTGAAGGCAAGAGGCTACGGTGCACGACTCGTTTGCTCGTGGAGATAGATAGCGACGTGTGCCAGAAGCAAGCGCAAGGTTGGAGCTGCTGCCGTCACCGGTGGAGCTGGCGGCTGGCGCCACCGGCTCTGCCTTTTTTTCATTTTTCCAATATATTGCATACAACTCGCAAGCTATACAATACGTTTTTGTCAAATCACGTGGCAGCTGGTGCGTGCGACATGCGGTGCGCGATCCAAGCGAGCGTCATCGAACGAACTTCTCCGCATGCGCGATGCCTGGCGTTCGGCTTGACACGCTGCTCGCCGAGCACATGACGACCGAGCCTGTCGACGACGACGACGTCGTGCTGCTCGAGGCCATGACGTCGACCACGGTCGGCACCAAAACGCAGGACGCGATGCGCACGGTGCGCGAGAGCCACGTGGTCCGCCGCATCCGCCGCTCCAACGCGATCCAGCGCGTGCTCTCGGGCCTTGTGCTCGCGCCGTCCGTGCTCGCCTTTCTTCTTCTGGGCCCGCGCTTTGCGCCGTACCTGCTCTGCTCCGTCGTCGTCTCGATCTGCTACTATGAGTTTGCGTGGCTGAGCCACCGCATCGTGCACCGTGTCGCGACGTCGGTCGCGCTCTCGGACCTCACATCGCTGCGGCCGATTCCAGTCCTTAACCTCCGCGACTGCGCCATCTCGCCCATCTCGCGCGGCTACGACAAGGTGGCGGCCGCCATCCTCTCGACGCTGCAGACCATGCTGCTCCTTGGCCTCACGTACGTCACGAACCTGTACGTCTGGCACTTTGAGTCGCTGCCCGTCGATGCTGCGCAAGACCGCCCGCACGTACAAGCCGTCGCGTACCTCTACATCTACCTCGGCGTCACGGGCTGGGTGGCTTTTTACTGTGCGTGGCTCACGCCGTCGTGGCGCGCGCACCTCCTTCTTCTAGTCGTCCAGCTCTTCTACGGCCTCCGCGCGCTCAACACATTTAGCACCAACTACTATAGCAACCACGTGTACCTCCTCGGGTACGACTACACCAAGCAGACGTTCGCGCTCATTGCGATCGCCGTGCACCTGAGCTTTGCGTCGCTTGCGTCACTGCCCGATGGCATTCGCATCCTCTTTGGTGTCCTCCTCGACTGCGTCGCGTTTGGCTACGTCGCATTGCTCATGGACCCGATCTCGACCTTTATGGCGTCCGTCATCGACGGCCGGCGCCTCGCCTTGGGCTTCTTGGCGGTCGTGTGGGGCGCCGACACGGGCGCGTATGTGACCGGCCACGTCATCCCGGCCTTGGGCTACGTGCATTTTCATCGCCTTGCGTACCACATTTCACCCAAGAAGGACCTCGAAGGCACGCTCGGCGGCGCCTTCCTCGGCGTGCTCCTCGTGCTCTTTGTCAACTTTGTCGCGCCGCCCGACCTCCCCGAGAGCGTGCTTCGCGACCTGCGCATGGACAAGGACACGTACTTGTATACGTGTCTGCTGTGGCAGCTCGTGTTTGCGATCGTCGGCGCCTTCATCTCGCGCTACGGCGACCTCTTGGCTAGTCTGCTCAAGCGGCTCGCGCAAGTCAAAGACACGGGCGACTTGATCCCGGGCCATGGCGGCATGCTCGACCGGGTCGACGCGCTCCTCTTCACGGCTGCTGTCTTTGTGCTCTACCACCGTCTCTCGAGCGGACCCAACTACACGAGCTACGTCCAGCCGACGTATCAGGGCTGGGCGTACCAAGCCAGCGTCCTAGCCACGCTGTTTCCATTCGTCGGCTGAGTCGCAGTTCTCTCTAATTTAACATGAATGCAACCTTGCTTGACGTCGTGACGAAGGCCCATGCGATTGAGACCTCTGCGTCATGTATTGAGCTCGGGTGGTTGTCAGTCTTTGAGACTATGGGGTGGAGATCGGGGGGGCGGGTTCTACCGTTCCCACTGCGATAATTCAATAAATCGCCGACTTGAACATGACGAATTGTCATTTGGAACACAAGCCGCCGCCCGGCAACCTCCCAGCGAGCAAGAATGTCCTCCAATGCAGCGACCTCATCCCGAGTCCTAGCACATGCAGCGTTATCAAGAAGAACCACTAGGGATACTGGGACAACGCCGTTGGCGTCTACACTTGTCGACCGATTTTTGTACTTTAGCTCGAAGTGGAAAATACTGTTGCTCGATGGTTTTCTCCGGCGTAGAGACAGCGACCAAAGGGCAAGAAGGGCGCGTCATGGCCCCTCGTGCATGACGCACCAGACGGTGCCTTGACCCCGTACCCTACCGTAAATAATGTACGGTAGACGCCTCCGTTGAGCCTCTCGGCGTCCGCCTTTTGTGTACTCTGCCGCGCCAGTGCACTCGTCTAGCTACCTCGCTCGTACAGTACGCCATGGCGACAGCGCCAAGAGCGAGCATGAAAAGACTCGCAACGTTGGGTGGCTTGAACTTCGTCTTCGAGAACCGGCTGGGATGGCAGTGTTGCGTCAACGCAACCGGATTTGCCGGATACGCTGGCGCCGTCCAAGTGGTCCAATGAGCGCGCTCCAACCTATCCAAAAGGCGTTTGATTGGCTGCTCTCGGCGAAAAGGCAAAGTGACTACCAGAGCTCATTTCTGAATTGACCATGTCTGACTTCGAAGCCGCCGCCGCCGCCATCAAGAACTGGAACCCGGCCTCGTCGCCGTCCAACGACGACAAGCTTGCGCTCTACGCGCTCTACAAGCAGGGCACGGAAGGCGACTGCAACACGTCGCGCCCCGGCATGTTCGACCTCGCCGGCAAGGCCAAGTGGGATGCGTGGAACGCCAAGAAGGGCACGAGCAAGGAAGCTGCCCAGGCCGCGTACGTCGCCGAAGTCGCCCGCCAGTTGGAGACGTACAAGTAAATGTGACGCGCGTTGTCTGTAGATTTAGCCGCCATTGATGCTCCTGGTCTCAATGCAAACCTCTTTCATTTGTAATTTCTAGTGTCTTGCTCGACTCTTCGAATCCACGGTACGTTGCGAAGGCCTTGTCCGAGGACTTGAAGACAGCCATGCCCCTGAAGCTGCTCGAACCCTCCGCCGCCACGGACGCTTTTGGTGCCACGCGTCTCAGAGCCCTGCCGCACACCCAAGGCTGCGAGAAGCAACACGTCGCAGGCCCTGGAGATCGAGTCCATCATGTATGGTGGCGTTGTCGTTGCAAGTAGCGAGGTCAGGTCGCTTGCCCTGTACGTAGCCTTCGGCAAGACACCAACCAACACCCATGTTGCTGCCAGATCACAAATGTCCTGAATGGGGAGTTCGCAGGCGACGCTAGGACGGCTCTTTTGGGCCCACGTCGAGAATCATTATGCAACTAAGTCATGAATCATAATGCAAAATAGGTGATTCCAAAAGGAACTACAAGGTCTGCGTCGCGTCCGTGTAGATGCGCAGGATGTCTTCGACGGGGCCCGCCGGCATGGTCGACGCCATGCCGTAAATCGCGCTGCCGCCGCTGAGCTTGCCGTTCGGGTCGGCCATGACAAAGTCGACAGCCTCGCGGAGCGCGGAGAGGAACTGGGCGCCCTTGCCAATGTGGCGCACGGTGACGCACAGGTGGACGCTCGTCGGGTGCTGGAGCGCGTTGAGGCTCCAGCCCGCCTTGGACATGCGGTCGCTGACCTTGAGGATGTTGAAGACGTGCGAGCCAAAGCAGATGACCATCGCCTGCGGGTCGCCGAGGATGAAGAGCGCGTCGCCCATGCTGCGAATGCCGTTCGTGATGATCTCGACCGTCTCGAGAATCCCCTCTGTCTTCTCGAGGTACCCTTCCTTGCCCATCTTGACCATGGACGCCCACGCCGCCGCGCTGAGCGCGCCTGGGCGACTGCCGGCGATCGTCGGCGTCGCATACAAGCCGCCGGTCCAGTCCGAGTAGGCAAAGTACTGGAAGCGGCGAATCGCCTTGTGCTTGTACAGCACGACCGACGTGCCTTTGGACGCGTAGCCGTACTTGTGCGTGTCGCACGACATGCTCGTGACGCCAGGCAGTGCAAAGTCGAACGGCGGCAGCTTGTGGCCCAATATGCGCGCAAAGGGCAGCACAAAGCCGCCAAGACACGCGTCCACATGCAGCCCAATGCCATACTGCGTCGCCATCTCCGAAAGCGCTGCAATGTCATCGATGGTGCCTTGCGGAAAGTTGGGCGCGCTGGCGTACAGCATGATGGTGTTGGCCGAGATGTTCCAGCGCACCGCGTCCAAGTTGACCTTGTACGTGATCGGGTCGACCGGGACCTTGATGAGCTTGATGTTGAACATGTCGCATGCCTTGTCGATCGCGGCGTGGGCGGTCACGGCCGCAATGATCTCGGGTCGCGTAATGCCATGGTCGTGCCGGAACCAGTCGCGGTGCGTCTTGGTGGCGAGCACGATGCTCTCGGTGCCGCCCGACGTGAGCGATCCGACAACGTCCGGCGACCCGCCGTTGAGAAGGCTCGCGGTCATCGCAATCACTTCGGCTTCAAAGCGCACGACGGACGGCCAGAGGTCGGCGTGGAGCGGGTTTGTGACGGCAAAGAGCCCGTACGCTTGGTTGAGCAGCGCAATGTGCTCGTCTTCGCCGTGGTACACAGCGCCCGAGACGAGGCCGTCTTGCCAGCGCTTGTCCTCGCCTTGCACCATGCGCACCATGGTCGCGAGTACGTCAGCCGCGGCTTGGCCCTTCTCGGGAAGCGCAAATCGCTTCGGAAAGTCGATCGCAGACTTGCTCTGCTCGGCGAGCGAGCGCTCAATGTCGTGTTCGATCTTGGCAATCTCGGCGCGCACCTTCTTTTGAAGCAACGGAATGTACGAGAGGACCGCCATGGCCGCGTTCCCAGCCTTGTTGATCGCCTCCTTCTTGGAAAAACCATACCGCGCCTTCCGGAGACGGTCCAGCACCGCATACGCAACGTAGATGAGCGTGACGAGCGCAATGGCGTCGCCAAGGACAAAGGCCATGACCGGCGGCATGGCGGCGAGGGCCAGCGCGAGCACGCTCGATGGCGCGTCGCCCGTGAGGTGCGCCCGGTAGCGGTAGTAGAGGACGCCGGCGAGCGCAGCTGGCAAACCCTTCTTGGCGACCCGCTCGATGTGCATGAAGCGGCCGAGGACGACGTACGAGGCGACGACGGCGGCGGCGACGGTCGGTGCAGCTGCCATCGAATTCAGAAATGAGTCTGCGATCTTCGGAAGGCCAAGTGCAAACCTCTCGAAATGCATATTTCAAGGATGACTTGGGGTTTGTATGACCATGCAGGCGAGACTATGCAGTTTGACAGGTGATGACGCCGCATAATCTGACCAGCCGGATTAGGAATGACAATGTGATGACGCACGTGACATCAACCGACAACGGGTGCATCAAAGTTAGCTTTTTGGATTTATAACTCTATATATGGTGCTCTAGGGTTGAAAATGGGGGCCGATACCAACGTCCAAGCAAGTTGACGTTGCAGCTGCGTCGGTCGTACCAGCGTAGTACTACTGTACCTTGATACTTGCTATGGAGCCAGCGTTGCTAGGTCATGTCTTTGGTCATCGAGAGTCTTTATGATGGGATGCTTGCGAATGAAAATGGGTTGATGACGAGGAGGATGGCTTCGCGGGTCCCAGCAACGGAACAGAAGTCCGACACACGTACGTAGAAAACATGGCCACGACGTGTCCGTGGTCCAGGCGCAAGCATGAGCTCGACCGCTTCGACCTACGCAGTAGTGCCCAAGTGCTGCGACCTAATGAGCACTAGACCGTACTCCAGATACAAAGGTCGTTGTGGGAAACCTCGCTTGCTGATAGCACAGGCTGCCACGTCATGCATCCTTTCCGGGCGCGCTGCCACGATGTTGTCGCAACTGAAAGTAGAGTTTGGCAATCTCGATCGCGCGTCTTGTCGGGCGATCTACTGTTCATCCACCAAGGTTGTTCCCGGTATTTCGGCAGTCTAGGTTAGCTTGCCAATGACATTTTTCGCAGTGATATGCCTCAAACGTCGCCAATCAATACATAATTGTATATGATTCCACAGTCATTTATGGCCAAGCAAAGGGTGCAGCCCAGTCTGCTGACTGCAAGAGCGTCAACATCATACCTTCACATCCACCGCGTGAGTAGGGAGTCTATGCACACAATGCTGCCACGTCATTGTTCCATGTGAAACCGTGTGCGATCGCGCTGCGTACGCTGCCACGTCATGGAGGCAAAGCGTTGCGAATCACGAATGGCATTCTACGGTTGGTGCACCGCGCCTCATATGCAAGGGAATATCTCTTAATTCCTTGCTCATATGGAA